CATTTTTAATTTCGTTCACTTGAGAGAATGCGTTTGTGTTTAGGGCAAAGTAGCCGATTTCATCCACAATTGGACTCCGAACTGGGAGTTATGGATATATCTGGTAATCGATCATCATTTTTGATACCTAGGCATGTTATTTCATTAAAAAAGTTATATTTTTCAAAGTCCCGGACTTTGTCTATGGAAAGTTCACAGGGCTGTGGTGGGGGACATCTATCAACCGACCGCGTCCCCGTACACACAGCACTGTATGCAGGGCTATGCACGCAGTTGCCCTAACATAATGATGTGTATGAATTGTCAACAAATTTGCTGCTATCAAAATCTCTTTCATCATAGATCCCAATGTATTTTCATGAATACGACTGTGTCAGTGGGTGTTACATTTACACGGGCCTCTGAAACAACGCATTTTGCAATTTGGACAAATACATTTTGAAATGCTGCAACAGGACAATTTTCGCCGCCGGTAGCATACATTTTAGCCTGTGTTTCGAAATCGTCAAGATCAATTTTATTAAAATTGGTAAAGCGTTTCTTTCTCTCTGTCTGGACGAATTCTTCGGTTTCTGCAAGAAAATCTTGCTCTGACAGCTCCCGAACATGATACTCGGCCATGTCTGTTGCAGACAACGAAAACATTTCGCAAAGAATAACATGCAAAAATTGTAGGTTGTACCATAGACCCTCTCTTTTAGAGGGTCTATGGTTGTACATTTTTTTTTATTTAACCACTGCCAAAATAAAATATGTATATAATATCTTCATGCTATCAATATTACCCCCAAAATGTCCCTAATATTTAAATGCCCTTCCCTTTATTTGTTTACGAATTGATCTTGTATTCATATTCTGGGGCCTTATTTGGAATACCATAACTGTGCATTATGCTCCAGTTAACCATGGCTTGCATAAATTAAAACAGTCTCCCAACCAATCACAATGATGCATTGATGGCAGTAATACACTGGTATAATATACATGTAATTTAAAATAAACTATGAACTTGAAAATTATCTAAATGAAATAAATAACTTTAGCTTACGTA